ACTAATTCCACTTCGACATGCTGTCATATAACATAATGCTCGACTAAATAAAACTGTATTATGTATAATTTCTAATCGTTCAAATAAATAACATATACAATCATCAACATCTTTTAAATCAGTTAATTTTTCATCAATTGGATCATAAGAATGCCACGTTGATATTATATCAAAAAAAAGTTTCATAAATAAAGGAAGAATTTCATTTCTTTCTCTCATTAAATTATTTATGAATAAACGTTGTTCAAAACTTAATGAACGATTTTTCATTTTAAGCCAATCATTATAAACAAGTTCAACTGTTTCTGGTTCAAATGGTGGAACATTTACATATAAATTTTCATCTTCCTTTAAAATCAATTGTAAACGTTTCAATATATCGCCATGATCGGGTAATGTTGATATAATACATTTAACATTCGATGGAAAGTATATTGGTAACCATTTACAATCATATGCATCAGTTTGTAATTGATCAATAGAATCAAGTAATATAACAAGATATTCATTAGCAGGAATTTCCGAAAGAAGACATGTTTCAAGTTGATCACGAAGTTGATTCACAGTTGGATATGAATTCATAGGTATATGATATAATTCACTTATTTGTTCAGATATAGATAATAAAGTTTTATAAATAGTAGAAGATGTTGGTGTAGTTCTACAACAAATATTATTTCTAATCTTTCTCTTTACTTATATTTGACTTACCCAAGAAAACGTAAAATAACTGAAACAGATCGACCTGACCACCATTTGAATACCTTAAATTAAATTAAAATTAAACTAAGACTTTAATCAAAATGAAATTAACTTACTTCTGTTGCCGTTTTAGCTAATACACTAGTTTTTCCACATCCTGAATGACCATATACAACACATGGTCGATGTTCTTCTTTTGATTTTATATATTTTTCCAACTAAAAAAAATGAATATATATTTTCTATTAATTCTATCTTAAAATACCTTAGATAAAACATCCGTTCTTCCATGAAATTTTGTAACATATGTTTTACATTGTATTGCATGTTCTAATACTTCATGTTGTAAACTATTTGAATCATGTGTAAAACGTGATTGTACACATTTATCTATTTGATTTTGCATTGCTTGATAAAAATCATTATTAAATTTTTCGAGATATTCTGCGTGATTTTGTCGAGTTATTCCATTTGATGACCAATGAACTTGATATTGAAATATATTTGAAGATTGTAATGCAGCAGGAATACGTGTAGTTTTTAAACGATTAAGTAATTTTTCTGCTTCATGATCAATATCTGTTGATGATGACATATCGATATATTTTGATGCTTTTTCATCGGATAAATGATCTCGAATATCAACAATTTCACGTAAAAAACATAATGTACGTTCATTTGCATCTTTTGCTGATAGAATACCATTGATAATTTCCTTTTCCGTAACTAAAATATTATTTTATATAAATCAATCAATATCAATAAATTTCAAACATACTTGATATAAAAAATTCATCATAATCACTTTCAGTAATTTGTTCTCGTTGAAGACATAATTCTGCTGCTTGTCGAAGACTTATTCTTAAACGATTACTAATCTTTTTCCATTCTTTATCTGCTTGTTTTATTTTATCTGTATTCTATAAGCAAAAATAAAACAAACAAATAAGATGATAATGACTAGTTTTTACTTCTGATAAAAAATTCGGTAAAATTGATGAAATATTTTGTAAAATATATGCAGGTGGAATACAATTGGTATCTAATTTATACCATTGTGTTAATAAATCACCATCTTTAAGTTCATTTAATTCATTAAGAACAGTATCTTTCAATAATTCAAAAAGTGATGCACGAATTTGAGCTGGAATTGGTCGTGAACCATAACGATGACTAAGTAATACTACAAAATTAGTTGCCACAGAATATTTTTTACATAATTCAATTTCTTTTAAACATGTTGCAGCTTCTCCATGATTATTAGTAGATTCCGTTTGAATTCCCCAACGCATATCGGCATACTTTATACAAGAAAAAAAATCAAATATTTTGTTCTAAGTTCAGATTAATATAACAAACTTGAAATTCTAATCCATATTGTTGACGACAATAATCTTTAAGTTTAGGAAATATATTTTCAATTAAAGAATCTCGTTCACCTAATGTATCTGTAGATGTTGAACTAACAAAAACTCGTACCATTTTTGATCGCACATCAGGTAATTCTTGACATCGTCCACGCAAAACATCCAAATCATACGCAGATTTCATCTAAGAAAAGAAGAAGGGTGTGGGTGTGGGTGTGGATGCGGGTATTTGTTTTAGTATGCTTCACTATCTGCGTGCAATTGCGGCGTGCCCAGCATGGCATACCTGCCGAATAGTGCTTTGATAGGTCACTGATTCTGGAACTGCACGGAACTACTCGGAATTGCTAGTAAGTCCGTCGAATTCTGCTTGAATCCGAGTCCCAGAATTCCTTAACGATATCGCTTGATATTGTTACCGTGATGATGAATAGTACCCTCATAGATGAGCAATTCTGGAGCTACACGGAATTCCGGAAATCTGTCGAGATGGATGTCTGATGTGATTCTGAAATTAGTGTATTTAATCCCGTGTGTGGAACTGATTTCTGCAATGCTAAACCTCGCGGAATAGGATATAATCTCTTCCACTCATGAAAGAAAACATTTGTAGCATCGATCGAATAGACAATTTTCTGATATTTACTTTAGTTCTTCTTTCATTGACACCGATTCTCGCTTTATCAGACTCGAGGATCCTAATTTTCGTCTACTAACATAGCTTTAATTTTCTATTCTAATGAATCTATCATCGATTAGATATCGAGCTATTCAACTATTCCTCCAACTTTTACGGGACGTGTCAGTATTCTTTGTACTCTCACCATTACAGTAGCTGCCATTGCATTAACACTTACTTGGAAAGAAAATGAATAAAAATGAAATTCAGCTGCTTTTTCTGCGACTATTTATTTGTCTATCAAAGTATGGACATGAAAAAATTGTATTGCCATTTTTTTCTGTTCTCTCACTTCCTTTCTCTTTCCACCAGTTACTGGCATTCAGTCTCACTAAATCAAACAAACTCTGTCTATGAAATGTAAATGTAAGAATGAAATCATCTTGTAAAATTCATTCAAAGAAAAAGAACATCTCTCTCTCTCTCTCCCTTCCCGCGGTGTTTTTTTTCTTATTCGCGGAAAAAAGCGTTTATCTTTAGATGGTGATAGAGTCGGGTGTGGGTGTAGATATGAGCTTAAACTGATACTCACATCCACCCACTCCCTCGATTGTAGTCTTGATTTGAATTGTTGTGTTGAAGTTTGCATATTGGTTCATCAATTGATCAAAATGCCTTCGAAAGGGAAAGAAACAAGAGATTATTTTACATGACAGGTACTGCCACGAATGAAAATAAACTACACCTCTCGACTGTAAAATATTCATTGAATTCTATTTGACAAATTGGTGAACATTTATTATTAATGAAAAAGAGAAAGTTAAATACACAATGACATTAAGATCTACATTTATTTATTTTGATATTAAATTTTTCAATTGTTCTGAATAAATCAAAAATCTTTCATTCGAAAAAATGAAATCATTCTATGTTTTGTTCATATTCGACCTAATTAAAGATTTATTTCGAAGAAACTCAGTTATGTAACTAACGAAATGGAGAAGAGGTGTAGATGTGAGATAAGAACAATACCCACCCACACCAACACCCACACCCACCCTCAAGTTATCCACGCTGAGCGTTATTTATTTACTAAATCCATCACAGTGATACTTTTTTGAGTCAAGAAATGCATCATTTTAGAATGATAATGACTTTGAAATAAGTCAGAAAATTCTGTTAGATTTATTTGTCTTATTCAATAACTAAATTCTATTGAATCGTCTAATACTCTAAAACACAACATTTACTTTTTATGAGTCATGCAGCATACTTGTTATTTCACCATCATCATGCAACAGTTTGTTTTTTCAATTCTGTTATTCAGCAATGCATTTGATGCAGTATATATATTCATCGATTTTTCTGTATAAAACATAAAATCGACTTTTTTCATACCGTTCACTATGGAAAGAAGAAAGAGAGTACGAAGTACCAGTGTTATCAATCATGATGATACAAAACGACAAAA